TTGCATGAAGAGATGAAAGTTTCGCTGACTAACATTGTACGTTATTCTTTGAATCGTTCGCATTCTTTTAGGCATACCGCTTGTTTAATACATGGGGTAAAATAATAAGGACTATGGAGTCTAAATGTGCTTTTTTTTCTTATAAAGGTATTGGCTAGACAGCAAAAAACAAAAGACCCTGCCACTGGTAGAATCCTGGGTGTCATTTATCTTGTCCATTATTTCTGGTGCTGCATTGTGTAAAAGTGTGAAAGCTCCCATTTCCCTCACATCTTCACAGAAGTGTGTTGAGGATGGGGAGTAATAATAATCACAGCTTTCATGCATGAGCAGATAGACTCAGTTCCGTGTGCTTGAGAGAATTTCAAATGTCATTCTAGTTATTAAGTGAGGGTTTTGCTGTATTGTTTTGTTGTATGGGTGAACGGGCTCAAACCTGTTACCTCAGCCGTTGAGACTGGGGGCAATTGTAATTTAGGGAAATTATGACACACCAAATTTCTTCAATCAAAATATAAGAGTGATGACACTTGGCAAAGTTCTCTCTCTGTCTGAGAAAAATAGTGTCGTTCGTTCGTTCGTTCGTTCATTCATTCATTCATTGGCCATCTCTCGGTTGTTGATTAAAAGTTAACATTAACCACACTGTTGTTTTCACTATTTGTAAAAATCACTGAATTTAAAAATGCAATGCCTAAAATATGTAATAAACATTATTTGATTCAAGTAATAAGTTGAATTAAAGCAAAAACAGTCCCTAAAGGTGAAAACTCTTCCAAAATATGAATAATGTAAAAGCACTGATATTATTAGTTTGCTCTTATTCAAGATAAATTTAATTTATCAAGTTACAGATGTCCCCAACTACAATGGGTCCCATAACTGGCCGAGTGCAATATAATATTATATGATCACGTCTAGTTATTTTGGCACACATAAATGTGTCTGAGAGTTATGAAGGAAAATATAAAACATTATAATTAGCACCAGCCTTTCACAGCAGGTGCAAAATACCTATGTGATTGCATTTATTTTCTTTTTAACGTCTGGTTTATATTTTTTTGTCTTCGTTATTCTCAATTACCCATTTTAACAACATCCCATTGTCAATATTATCAATGTAGTTGATCAATGTTTTTTTGATCATTAGTCAAAAAAATGTTTGAAGTGTATTTAATATGCATGCATTCTTGCCCTATTGGAGGCATGATGCTAGAATGAACTAATAATGAGTGTTTGGCTTTTGGCAGCATAAATGATTAGCACAGACCAACTATGCCAGCCCAATTTAGATACAGAATGGAATGAAGGGACTTTGGTTGCCATTAACGCTAATGACATTCAGGCAATTATATCCAAACCGTGTCTTTCCCAATTAAAAGGCAAATACGCAACAGGAGCAGGTTCAAAATGCTTTTATCAGAGCCATTTTACAAATGGCCCAACCATGTCAGTGAGTCAACAGTAAATATATTCCTTATTAGATAAATCCATTAGTTGCAGGATGAACAATCTATAAAACAAAAGGTATGAAGCCTATAAATGTGCTGATCTAGATGCGGACATATAGGCCTAGTATTAGATGGACATCTCAAAGAGAAACCTTTGACTCCACCAACATTGAGTGTTTTGCGATTGTACAGAACATCGAGTGTTATTAAAAAGAAAGAAGGTAATATCACAGAAAGCAGAGAGAGCAGTAACAACGAAAAAATATATATTTTTAAAAGTAAACAAAGTAATACCAGCGAGAGGAAAGGAAATCAAGGGAATGGTCATCATCATGAGTAGAAAATGGAAACATTGACTGAGCACACATAAACTACAAGCACAATAAAGAAGAACTACAGTATATTCCATATCAAAGCCTGTTTGTGCACCTAGAAGATTCTTCAGCAACCTGCACATTATCCTCATCAAAGAGAGGTGAATTTGAGCATGCATACAAGTTGCTGCTGTGTAAGTGCAGTGTTTTAAATGGCGCCAAATAAAAAGGAAAAAAAACTTGCGATGAGTGCAAGAAATTCCCCTAGCTTATTAGTGAAAAATGCTGATCTGGACCTCACTTTATGTTGTAAACTGGATTGTACTCTATTGTGACTCCTAAAACCAAACATGCTTTTAGTCTTAAAGAGAGGCTATAGAGGAAAAGCACTGACAATTATAGCCTTGAGCAGCATGGGAAAAAAGAAAAATGTAGGTTACTTTAATGAAAGATTTTGGTATAGCCTATAGCTTCTATTGTGGGAAGTGTCAACCATTATTTAGCTGTGAAATGATTTTTCCTTCAAGCACTTTTTCCTTTGTTCTGTAGCAATGGCTTTCTCAATGGTGCCGCTAGTCTGTATAGTGATTGGGTCAGGGACAGCAGGGAAAAAATTCTAAATGAATATATATAGACTAATTGTGTGTATTGATACCAAAAACAATGTAGTTTATCCTCATTTAAACTGCCATATCTTTTTTGTTGACATATAATGTCATGAAGACCCATAAACTAGCCCTGTAAACTACCACTGCCGCTTTAAAAGGTTCATAAAGAGATCATCAAAACTAATCTATAAAGTTTAGTCCAAAATTTCTGATGAGACTCGATCACTTGATATGATGAACATTGAATTTGGCTTTTATTCACATACAGGATTGCGACAGTAGCCTATTACAATATCAATGAACTTTTACTTTCAAAGTAGTAGCTTTACTCCAAAGTCCCTGAGGCACTTCACATTTGATGGGTTTTAATTTAATAATTATTTAAGCACTTAGTTTGTTATTATCACTTATGCACGTTTTATTTTGCGTCTTATGTTGTTAAATGTTCATTTGGTTTAATTGTTTATGGCATCGTGCGCACCTTGTAGTAGCCTATTATAGGCTATATCCCAGCTTGTAAAAAAAATATATAAAAATACTATGAACTTCCTTCATTTACAGTGTGGGCTTAGCTATTTTTGGTGTTATGTAATATCATATCAATATCATAGGCCTGTATGAAATGTTTCATTCAAGGACATTTTTGTTTAATTTTTAAGCCAAAAACCACGTGCTATAAAGAGAACTATGAAATATTTCAAGCTAGCCTAGCCGAATAGCAGCCTATAGCAGGGCTGCACGGGCCACTGATGACACAAACACGACCTGACCCCTGTCATTTGAAATCTCGCCCTTTTCAATGACTCGCTTTCGAGACGTTTCACGCAATAGGCTAATTCTAAAACAAAGTGCGTGTTTGCAGGAGGACGTCTTGAGGTTTCAGGACGTTAAACCTCGGGTGGTCAAAACTCATCTTTTTTAAATAGTATTGCCGTATCAAGAATAACCACCCGCTTAACTGCTCCATCACGAGCTACAGGGAACAGGTTGCCTGGGAAACGGCCGCATGGCAACAGGATCAGAGCCGGGGGGTTGTCTGCTGCTGCTAGCTCTGCTCCCGTTTCCCATTTCCTCACTAGATGGTGTGCAAGCCACTGGAGAGTCGACTTCCTCCCGCGGTCTGGTTCCGATCAAAACAAATCTGGAAAACTACACGGAACGCCATTTCTCGGGGTTTTCGCGAAGGATTAATATATTTTCATCCAGATATTTGTAGCCTATTTGTATTTTTGATAACGGCGCGGATCGTACTCCATTCGGCGGTGATGGACATAATGATTGCAGTGCAGGATGCGTGCGTCTCCGGTCAGTGGCTCACCGCTATAATTCTTAGTCTTTGCTGCTTTTTACCATCGTGTTTGCCCGCAGGACAAACTGTGGACTATGCGTCCAGCGAGAGTGTGGTCAGCAGACAGGGAGACACCGCGCTGCTCAGGTAGGAGACTCAAGTCACTGTAGAAGTGTTCAAACTAAACTTGCCTGGCACCTGCATCGGTCGCTCTGCTCTCAGTTTTGTAAACAACACTCGGCAGATCCCCCCAGTGCCGCTCCGTCACTTTTATTTGGGTCACTATCCCCGCTGGTTGCCATACTGACCAGAACAGGTTGGGACTATGTTTTTTTTTTTTTTTTACCGTCATGGGCATATATTTTAGTTTGGGAGATGCAATGGCTCAATCATTGATACTGAAGTGTAGGCTACAGATTGTCTCTATAAGGGGTTGCATAAGGAGCTGGGGAAGGGGGTAGAGTTTTGTAAACCCCGCCAAGCGGAACACTTTGCACAATTACAATGAAGTCATTCATGATTCCCACCGTCCGAATGAGCCTCTCGCGGATATGTTTGCGTCCTGGAAAAAAAAAAATAGAGAAGTTGCACACGTGTTTTAAATGATGAATTTGTGTCACACGTTGTGACTAAAACATGTTATAATGAAATTTAACTCGTCCAAGTTGAATGAAATATTTTTTTTTCCATGGGTGTGTCTGGCGGTAGCTAACAGATCAAAGAAGTAGCCTATCTGACTCTTAAGTTTTTATTTTATTTTTTTAAGTTTTGTAACTTCATTCTCGTCGTTTGCTGTTTGATATTATGCTCAAATTTAAACAAAATGGCTATTGGCAATATCAGAAATTGACTGATTCTCCCATTGATCATCGTGCATTTGCCTTCTTAAGAATTGATCCAAACGTCGTTCACATTGGTACAACTGCAAAACCATTTAAAACACGTATGCGTCATATTTCTGGTGTAATTTTGACTTGCTATGCGAATTTAAATTTTGTCTCCCTTTTTATTTCAAAATATTGAGCACACAAATTTTTAGCACAGGACCACTAGTGGTGGGAAAAGTGATGGGAAGTCTGACTCGTTTCTGGGAATCGGCTCTTTTGAATCAGTTTCAGTGAACCTGTTCAAAAAGTCCATTTAGCAAAACGTTATGTACTGGTAAATTCGTTATCACGTTGTTCTCCTCACGCCGGAATGTACGTTGCACGCGTTAAAACGTTTTAAAAAAGTATGTTGTTCTTTAATGTGGTTTTCTGATATTTTGTTATTCACGTGGATGTTTGTGTGTTCCAGTTGAGTTTGTTGCAGCCAAGATTCAAACACTCAGCCTAAAGTAATTTACAACCTAGAACCGAAATACCGGTAGTATTTGCATTTTTACGTATACATACATCTTTCAGCTGAAAATGTTTCTGCATTTTTTTTTTATATAAAATATTATTTATAAAATCTAACTGTCAGCTGACTCATCGGGCAGCTCTTTTCGGATATGTATGCTACACGACGACAGTTATTGGTTCAAAGAGTTTCTGCTCGATATAATCGTTAGAGGCTGGTTTATTGATTCGTTTAAAACAATTCATTGAAAAGATCCCACTCAAAAGAGCAATTGGTTCCTTTATCTGGTCCATTCGATATTTCAGTTCTTAGGCAGGCTAAAGGTCTTCGTATTATCTTTGGTTGTCTCAAGCTTTGGCAAAAAAATTATGGACCAGTCCAGCAGCCATTTGTTCTCCTCTTGACATAAAATGGTTTTCTTGGCTTATGTAATGGTCAACTTCCTCAATTGGTTAGGCTATGTTAGAAGGCTATTCAGACATCAGTTGTGCACCTTGCTGTTTTTTTCTCATTACGATCTTGATTGTTATCTTAGACTTTTTGCTTGAACTAAAGTACACCCTAGAATGTTTCTTGTAACTATTGTTATTACATTTTCAAATGTGAAGGTTGGCACTTATGCCAAGTAATTTCAATGTGACAACATTATTGTATCTCAGAATTGGGTATAAAAAATGTAATGGGAAGCTATTGTGTACTGTGAATAGGGCTGTAATCATGACTGTCCCAGATGTCCAGAGAATGTCGGTGGTCTGTGAATGCTTTAGTGCCTGTACTTTAACCAGCATCAAGGCATCTTCGAGCCGTGGGTGGGAACCTGTTCCTTTTCTCCTCAGGCCACACCTCTTACTGTCAGTGTTGATTAATCCCAAGGATGTGCCGTTTTCTCCTCTGTTTTATCTCCTCTGTTTTATTATTGATTTGAACAGCAGTTCTCTAAAATATTTAATGGGTGTGGTAGAAATATTGCTGTTTTGCTAATGTACAGCTACGTGTCAGTAGTAGGCTACAGGCATAGATAGAAAAATATATTTACAAGCAACTCCTTTGCTCACAAATTTAATCATTTATTAAGGAGAGTGTTTTGGATTTATGTTAATGACTTAGAGTGTATCTAATCTGTTTTTATCCTTGGCATTGTTGTTCTACTGAGCTGAAGAGCATAAATTATGACTGTGATCTTCCTTAAATGGTTCTTGACTTTGTGCCAATGATCCTACATTTAATATTTGCAATTGTCTGTAATATATTAACATATTCTACATGACAGTGATACAGCTTAACATCACAAAATGCTGTTCTTAAATTAAGTAAAGAATAGCTCATGATAATAGATTTTTAGCTTTAATATTTGGGGGTGGTGATGGTGCAGTGGATAAAGCACATGCCCTTGGTGTGAGAGACCTGGGTTAGAATCCACTTTGAGACACCAATGTGTGGCACTTAACCCCTAGTTGCTCCAGAGGTGTGCGACCTCTGACATATATAGCAATTGTGAGTCACTTTGGTTAATAGCGTCAGCTAAATGAATAAATGTACATTTTACGAGTTCACACATACATGAAATCAAATATAAATTTAATGCGTATTTGGCTTGCTGTCCGGGCTCTAAGCTCAGAATTTTGCCCGCACCCAGAGTACTCCCCCCTATACTGGGGTAGACCCAGCCGAGAGTGAGGTGATGGGGTGGTGAAGGGATGCTGAGAGACAGGAGGTGAGAAAAGCTTTATTTATACCGGCTTCCTCTTGAGTTGATTGGTTGATTGCCTGAACATGCTCCTCCCGAACTTTGTTTACATAAAACTTAATTTCACGAGTTCACTCGTACATGAAATCAAATATAAATTTAATGTGTATTTGGCTTGCTGTCCGGGGGAGGGCTCCGAGCTCGGAATTTTGCCCGAACCCAGAGTACTCCTCAAAAAGCCAGGTAAGCGTGGGACAGCGAGCGTAGAAATAATTCTCCCCAAAAAAGTGAAGGGCATGAGAAGGTATTTACTAAAGAATGAGCTTGACCGTTCGACCATGAGGGCTCTCGCGACGTCCGACGGGAACTTGGATGCTCACGGCATCGGACGGATAAGCCCCACCAGCAGTTGAACTGACAGCTCGATGACACCAGATTTATACGAGCGTGATTTTGGAACGAGTTAAGCCGTTCAACCGGGAGGGCTCTCGCGGCATCCGACGGGAACTTGGGTGCGCACAGCGTTGGATGGGTAAGCCTCGCCAATTGGACGGGGTCGCCCGCTGTACTCGGTCTGGAGGGCTCGACCGGCGCTTCGAAGGGGGCTGGGGCACGGGAATGGACCCCTCGCGGCCAGACGAACGGGGAGCCCTTGCGGCGACATGAGTGAGGCTGTCCTACGATGATTAAGATAGGAAGGCTCTCACTGCGATTCGGACGGGAGGGCTCGACCAGCGGTTCAGAAGGGGGACAAAGCCCAGGCCACGAGCGGGGAGCCGTCACTGTGTACGAACGGGGGAGCCTGCAATTGTAAAAAATTACGCTGTATTTTGGATATGCTTACGAAGCGGGCATGGAATACGGTGATGGTGTCGATGAACGGAGTGCAACAGGTGATGGAAATTAACTATTTAATTAGTAAGGGCTTGGTGAGTGTTTCAGATGTGGAAACGGCTGGATCTGATGTAGGTTTTGAAAGCTTCAGATGACCAGCGACCGAGGGTTTGGATTTGTTGTTGAGAAAGACCTTTTTGTGCGGCTGTGGTTGCTGCGCCGATGCGAAAAGAATGAAAATATATACAAAATGACCTTTTTAGCTCGATCTGTTTTGCTTTGTTTGATGAAAAAAGATATAGTTTCGTTATCCACGATCTGTAAATCTGAAATGGTAGGGTGAATATTTGAATTGAAATTGGATGTGATGGTCAATTCGGAGCAGCGGAGAAAGCCGAAGAAAGCTAGGATGAACATAACTTCTAGTGTGCGCGCCGTGTTGGTGGAGTTGTATCCTAGACGGAGTGATGAAATACATTTGGCGAGTATGTCAATTGTAATGGGTTGTCTGGTATCCCGTCGAGTGGTATGAGTTCTTTGAATTCCTTTAATGAGAAGGGACGCTTGGAAGTTATTAATGGCGGGGGCGGGCTTACCGGCGGCAAAACCATGTTATTAAAACATTTTTTTCCACAAACATTTTTTATCATAGACAATGTTTTTACTAATATCAGCTTAAGTGGGAAACAGAGGCGGAGTTAGTGGTACTTCGGAGGCTGCTACTGCTGGAGATGATGTGCAGGTCTTTTTCCAACTACTGTAGCACCTGATTGGATCTAGAAAAGTAGGTGTAACTCTAATTGGAATTATAAAAGTATTTTTATTTGCTATTACTGCTGCAACCTTAACCGTTATGATAGTAACCTGCGTGTAACTCACTAACCCATGAGTGCCACAACCAAAAATGAACCTCCTCGCTATCTCCCCTTTCACAAGCTGTCAATGCTCACAAACACACAGCCAGCCTGTCTACTTTCAGTTGGAGAGGCGTGGTTACGGATGTCAAGCAGACACCCAAATCGTCAAACCTACGTCATCAGGGAAGGTCCTCCATTGCAGAGGGGACTCGGGTAATTTTCAGATTTTGAATAAAGATTACGAAGCCAAACATTTTTTTGTGTGTGGATTGACTTAAATAAATCAACATGACAAAATAATCAATTTAGGCAAACAAAGTATGAATGGTAAATTGTTTAATTCATGGGGACTTAAAAGGGGTGGTTTACTGCTTTTTTTCTTTGCATGATTGTGTTTATGGGGTGCAATATAACATGTATTCGTGTTT